ATAGTTTATTTTGATAAATAATCGTTATAGGTGCACGAAGGTTTGCTAGTGCATATTAAAGCACTGAACTCCTAAATAAGAGGTCGTTAATACAAAATGTATGGGCAATATTACTCATTTAATTTTCATTTTCCACAATTGTATTCAAACTTGCGTTCAGAGATATGACGCTTGATATATATACTCCGAAAAAAAGCACATGCCTATACAAAGATCTCATGCCGGCGTCGTCCTTCATATTGTTTGGACATAATTTTCTTAAATGAGCTATACATTTGACTATAAAAGTAAGTTATGCAGTGTACGAGGAATTATCAGTTTAGAGTGTTACATAAATGAGTAAATAAACAGATTTAATGAAAATATTAAACTCAAACCTTTTTAGGATGTACATTTTAAGGGAGCATTGTAGGAGCACATTTGTCTCGGAGCACATTTGTCTTACGTAAGACCGATGCGGTCGCATTTGTCCCACATGAGACAAATGGGACCTCAAATGTCTACCCCAAAAACGCATTTGTGTGACAAATGTGCTCCAACCAAGTTTTTTAAGGGACAAGAAAGCACATTTGTCTCATGTGTTTTTAAGGGACAAGAAAGCACATTTGTCTCATGTCATTTTTTTTTAATTATTTGTCACATATTTCCCCGCGGCAGAAATTCCGTTTTAGAATCGAGGTTTGCCGTTTTACCTCATGTCAAGTGTAATCATCAATAGGTTTGCTTATACTTTCTTTGTGAAAACCTTAAGTGAACTTATAAATTATATAATCTCTAATTCAAGAAATTGATTGGCTTAACCTAAAGGCGTACGCTGAAACATACTTAATCCCGTTCTCGATGGTACAATGGTGACAGCGCGATGGCACGATGATACGTTGATGAAAACGCGATGGTGCGAACGTGAAACAACGATTGTACGATGGTGAAACAAAGATTGTACGATGGTGCAACAACGAAGGCTCGATGATGAAAACTTTTGATGATACTTTTATAGCTCCAAAAAGTTATTCATTGGCTAATTACCTGAAGCATTTTTCATCTGCTGCTTTTTTGCAGATTGTACAGTTGAAGTGATTTAGAATTTTGTATTGAAGTCAAACGGTTACAAGCATCTAACTTCCTCAGAAATCATTATTTGAATATTAACAAGAAAAGCATTGATGCAAAGCATCAAAGGGCGTCCAAACAGCAGGTGCAGATGAACTAGTAGATATATGATGACAAGATATTCTTATAAACTTTTCAATGGTTCATTGGGTTTTACCAGAATTGTATATCACTTTTGAATGAACGGACGAAAGACATTGTTCATTATTTATAACTTTGATCGGCATGCTAGAAATAAAAATATTACTTGTTATTTCTTTATGATCGTGGTTATTAATAGCAACGGATATACATGTATACAATCATTTATAATCCATATGTGTAACGCATGATCAACACCATACTTGTGTAATTGTCCCTTATTATGTTATCGCTATTAGCGAGGATCCCCTCTTAAGGTATCTGTTCACACTAAGTAACAATATGACACTTGTTATATTACCATGTTGATCATGTTGAGCATAATTGTTTATTATACAATAAATGTAATTTCTATTTTAATAAAAAAAAATACAGATTTTATGAATATTGTTTTCTTTTCTTTTTTTGTGTGTGTTTTATGCGCTATTTTAATACTGAGTTTTTACGTTAAATACTATTTTAAGAATTCAATTGTCATAATGATCGACGATTATAAGTCAAAACTTAACTGGAAAAAGTCAGTAAATCATGGTTAATCTTTCAATATATAATATTGTTTATTCTTAAACCATATACATGTACATTTGTATTTTTCTTTATCATTTTTTAAATTATTAATCAATTGAATAATTCATAAAATCTGATTTGAAACTTTGAATAATTCCTCGGAATCTTTACTAAACACGAATAACAAATTAAATAAAATGTTTTAAAGTTGATAGTGTCATATTAATGCCATAAAAATGTACATTTTTTCTCAATTATTGTACATATTTATTGTTTTTATCTCATATAGATAAAATATAACATGCGATTTGTGTTGTTGGTTTTTTTTTTTTTCGAATTGTATGTTTATGTATAATAATAATCAATCAATTCGAGAGTTGATCTGTGTTTATTAATTATTGTAACCAAACTAAGTGACAAACATTCATTTTGAAAAAAAGCTTATTTATCTGTAAAATATTTGTTCTGTTCTGTAACGATATCAAACATCTAATCCAAAACCGGGAGAGACCGGACAATAAACGTGTGGTACTATTCGCCGGTCATTAGTAAATCCCGGGAGAGACCGGGAATTACCGATAGGAGGACATCCCTCTATAAATAGATTTTCGGAATATTTAGGTCATCAACTCATCATTCTATTAACAGCTTTCGGAATAACATACCATAATAACCCACTGTGTACTACAAAATGATAAGCAAAAATACCCCGAAGAGCGCGATTTATTGACGGAAAAGGTTATTTCATTTGAAAATGTTTGCATTGCGAAATTCTCCAGTTCGCCATTCATTGTACATATCGCGACTAATTAATAATCAAGCACCATCATACCGATCGGAATGATCGGCTTTTATTATTGGCAACTATAAAAGGCTCGAGAAGTTGCTGTCGCCCTTTCACAAAATCTCATTTCATTCCAATAGGCGCCGCGCTTCGGCGCGGAGGCCAATAAATTCATAGTTGCCCTATCTAAAGAAGTAAATTTTATTCCTTTCTGAAATCTCATGGTATAGGATTCTTCGACATTGCGAGATCTCGTGTTACAATATCGTGCCTCGCTTAGTGTTTCATCGGAATGTCGCGTCTCGCCCGATTCTGAGTGACCCGATATTACATAATTACATTGTATGTGTATTCATTACCCGGATTATTTTAGGAATTCATGCATGTTGTAAGTGCTTTTTCAAGTGCGGATCTTGGAAAATGACGATTTTTTTATACATACATTTCTGATGAAAACAAAATACGTGTGTAATGGTCTTCTTATTTTCTTTCATAGATCATTTAAGGGCCTCCGTGGTCGAGTGATTTCAAAAACCACTTGCCCCTATTCGCTGTAGGTTCGACACATACAAGGGGCGTCGAACTATTCATGTGAGGATCCCGGTCAGGGTCAAAATGCGGAATACATATCCGCGTGCGCACGTAATAGCTATCGAGTGCGCACGTAATAGTATCGCGTGGCCACGTAAAAGCTATCGTGTGCGCACGCAATAAATAAGAAAACTCTATGTCCCCTTTATGCCACCGTAGATACTACTTTGTTTTTGCTAAGAATATTTCTAGTGCCATAAATCATTAATAAATCTTTAAGCATTGAAAATAAACGTATCACAATTAATAACGATAAGAATAGACTTGCTGCATATGTGTTTAGGTTCTAGATGCTGCACTTGTAGAAATTGTCATTGTGACATGCAGAAAAGGGATATTCTTTAATTTAATATATGACTCCTATGCAGAGGCAGGAAGTTTTTGACTGACCGGAAGTGACCTAAAAACGGTATTATAAATAAAGAAAACACAGAACAATGGCTGGTAGCCGGTATACAGATGGGCATAATTATTACCTTTTAAGAATTTTATGGATAAATGTGAGACAAATGTGCTTCGAGTGTCCTTTCTATTGTGTGTCGAACACAACTGTCTCATTTCCAATTTGTCGCAAATATGAATGTTTACGAACACATCGGTCACACTTCGTGAGACAAATGTGCTCCGAGACATATGTGCTCCTACAGAGCATACTTTATCACAGGATTTGAATCTTATTTTTTTATTTCAATTGTCTTTTTATTATTTTATTTTATTTGTTCGCCTGTGTTGTCCATTTGATCCCACTATGAACTTAGACTGCTTCGAAGAAAGTGTAGGCAGAATCAATAACACATAAATGTGTACGCAGTATCTTGATTTTTTCGAGAGAGTACGCAGTATCATAATTCTATTTTCTACAAAAAGATCGTTTTAAGACATTTTTCGTACAAAGGAATTATAACAAAGATTGAAAATATATTTATGAAACAGGTTCTACAATAAAAAAAAAAACTTCAAGCTAAACTTTCAGTTTAATCGACAACTTCTCAATTTCTGTAACATTTCAACGCCGGGTGTACGCCGTATCCAGAATCAAAACCGCATTCAACTCGAAATACTGACAAGAAAAGGAAGAATTGTGTCAAGGCATTTGGAATATTAAAACTATAAGTAAGGACATCTTCTTTGCAAAAGAAATTAAATTTAAATCTATTCTGATTGCTTTACATGCCTCGTTTTTGTTCTAAGTACCGGTTGAAAAAATGTTCGCGGTATCAAAATTTTGAGAATGCGCGCGGATGGTTTGACCCCCTTGTCTCATATATAGACTCGATCAAACCGAGTCTGCAGTTTTCATGTAATTTTGCTGTTTTAAATGCTTCCGAGGGGTCAATTTTTCCAGACATTTATCCATTGCTAAGTTGAATTAAGTTTGCAACACCCGACATTAGCCAAAATCACCTTTTTTATTTCGGCGCCATATGACTTTTGTTATCTTATTAATTACTTGTTAATGGGTTATTCAAAACTCATAAAGGCTGAACATAAACAGAATAAAAATGGTCTGGAACAACATATTAAAACTTTTTTTTGAGTAGGATTTTAACCATTCAACAATGATTTCGTTTATGCTCCATTCGGTTAAAAACAAATAATTCTTTCATACATGTATTTTGGAACAGTTATATTTCTCTTTTTTTTTTCTTCTTTTTTTTTTAATTCAAATAAAATATTGTAAACTGCAGGCAACAGAGATATAGCTTTTCTAATATACACTTTAAGATAAAAAGTGATATCAAAGCAGTAATTGTCTCTAAATCAAAACTTTGCCAAATTAACTTCCTTAATTGGAATAATTTGCCATGATCTTGTACTTTGTACGTTGATTATGAAACAAAAATGAAAACTTCCTTAAATGCATTCATATAAAAGAAATCAGTACAGATGAACTAACATGGAAATGAATATTATCCGGTTAATGTAATTGAAGATGTGTCATATGATGCAGAAATAAAACGAAATTGGACCATGAATGATGATTTCAAGAATTTTTATAAGTTTTTTTTTTTCAACTTAGTCATTCCTGTTTAACTCACGGATGAAAATGGGGCGTTTTTGCGTGATTGGAATACTTGTTATAATAGTTTCAGGTACGCTTTTGTGTTGACTAAATAATTTGAGTTTGTACCATTTACCTGTACACGTGTTTAGATATTGTGCATTTTTATTCTATAATGTGTTTTATATTCTTACTGCATCTATTACCTGTGCTCGTAAGAAATGATACAAGTTGAATTAAATGAATTTAAGCTTACTTATAATGATACACGTGCTTTTATTTGCAATAAATCATATGCTTTGGACTGTATTGTCTGTAATAACTGAAACACGGATTCCCCTTATTTGTTGCTGGTTACTATAATTATTTTCGTATACTCAATTGTAAGTTTTATAAAGAGACAAAATAGTATTTAGTACCCCGAGATCAAGTCTCACATGTTCTCAAAGGCAAATTGATTGACGTTGGTAGCATTTAGGTTACTCGGCCTCTAAAGAATGAATCGGTATTTACGGTGTGAATAATGATTTCGAGAATTCTTAACGCACATGGTTTAGAGAACAAACAGGCGTTTATAGAAAAAAGGGAGAAAAAACACTCATCATTGCTCTTCAAAAAATATTTTATTATTTTTTCAGCTCAAGTCAGACAGAGATTTGCTTATACAAATTATACCATACCTTGTGTGTTGGGCACGTCTTGTATACTTCCCTGCAAAATGGACCCATATCAAAAGAATGCCTCTGTAAGTGAGATATTAGTAGCCAATGTAAATGTTATATATTACAAAAAAAAAAAATAGAAAATGAATAGATCTAAATAATTAACCAAAAATAGCAACAAAAAGACCAGTCACGGGCGAAAGAAAATAAAAATGCAGGATAAATTAACTAACAACATGTGATAGTCAACAAGTGTATCGAAAGCTTTCTCTACTTAAAAAAAGTTTTTTCTTTATTCTAAATAAATTATGACGATAATAATTGTAATTTTAACAGATTATTTCATCATAGGTCTCATGGTTGAACAGCAATGAAGAATATCTTACACGAGGTAAAACTATAATAAATCCGGATTCGACATATTTAGGAATTGAGAAATCTGCAAATAACACATGGAATCTTCATAACAAAAATGTAACCAGAAATTTTGCTGGAACATACAAATGCGAAGCAAAAATTGGAAGTAAACAGATGACGCTCTCCGTGGTTACACTTGTTATTGAAAGTAAGTTTACTTAATAAAAAAACGTTTGCATGTGTACGAGGGATAGTCAGGATTACTCAGAATATCTTTATAAGTCCAAAGCCCGTTACAAACATGGATAACTGGAACTTGATTCAAAACACGAACAAATGTCATTTGAATGCTGGATCCTTGCGAAATAATGTTTTAGGGATTAATAGTTACAACATTAGCGTCCGGAAAACGGCGCTATCACCGGGGTGGAACCCCATATGTATCTCAAAGTAGAGCATCGGTAAAACATATATGTGAATTTCCGCTGCTTCAGATGTGCGCTTTAACTCGATATGTGGTGGAGAAAATCTCGACTGTGAAATAGTCATATTTACATGCCGATAAAGTGAGTCTGAGGAAATACATTATTCTATGCCAGGTTCATTTCCTTTCGAGCAAAACACAAAAAATATCGTTAAGAAATTGGACTGCTCGATAGTTTATGCTGAAATAAAATTCACCGACCTCCCTACTGTGAGCCTTATACTGTGTACATTGACAAATACTTTCAAAACCTTAAAAGAAGAACACAACGATATGCGCTTTACTAAGTTTACTTAGAAATATACATGCTAGTCATTATGTGTTATTTTGCTGTAATGAGATACACGGTATTACATATTCATTAAGGTTTGAAATAATAACTTTTGTTAAATGATGCGCAATTCTGGTTGACTCTGGACCATCCATTGTATTTATTCTCTATTTCATGTAGGATGTTACTTTTTTGTTTTTCCAGTCCAAACCTTTGAAAAGTGTTTCTTTAGAGAGTGAGCTGAATTTGTAAAATGTTCTTTCAGATCTGCCCATTGGTAATTTCACTGATATTGTAAGCATTAAAAATTCAAAACGCATCACTCTCAACTATACATGTATAACATTACACCAAAGATCAAACTTAAAGCTAAACAACTTCGGAATCAACAGTGTAAAGCTTCAAAGAGATAATCATTGACGCTACATTTGATATATTTCACAGAAAGTAAATCTTTATTTTTTTAAATGAGTAAGTCAGGCACCTTTCAGGTAAACCAACACTTGATGAAAGAAACTCTTCAGGTTCAAACTCAAAGTTTAAGGAGGGTGAAGATGCCGAACTTAACTGCGTGTTTGACGGGTCACCGGCACCAGAAATAAAATGGCACCGCGGTAGATCCATGGAGAGTAAGTATATATAGGACATAATTTATTCAAACTATATCTGAAATGAGTAATGTATTCTAATAAAAATCTTATATAAAGTAGGTTGCGTAAGCGCAAAAACTTTTTTAAACCAACTAAAATAACAGTTTGTTTTCGTTTCCTTATTTATTATAAAAGGCATTGGTTGAAATGAGCGACCCATTTTATTTAGCTCACTCTATATTTTGACATTTGAATATGAAACTATAGTTTTTCTTATTATTTTTTCATCTTGTTTTAAAGTGCAACGGCCGGCTGCAGAGCTGTCCAATGTGGAACAAAACCCCCATTTTAACATGCTTACAAATATTTAAACTTTGATCATTCAATACCTAATTATCTCTTAAAGCAAGTTAAATTTTAAGAAACTAAATTGAAGATAAAATATATCCTTTTTTAAAACTCATACTTTTAATATATTGATTAATAAACGGAATTTTAGATTACTTGAAAAACAACATATCGGATGCTTTTTACAGAAACGACCAAAATCACTCTTTAATTCTTCGTTTCTTTGATTATGTTTACTGTTGGAATGACTCCAGATAAGACACTGAGTATACATGTACTTGTTTTCTTAAATATTTGCATACGTTTCTCGGGGCTTTCCGCAACCAGCACTTTCAGTGCTTTGATCTATTTATATCAAGCATCCATACTGAACCAAACCTTTGTTTATAATAATTTAAATAATTGTCATTTACCAAACAATTCTGTTTTCATTTATGAATCGAAACAAGCTATCCAAGAATTCTATTCTATTTTATCACCTTTTTGAGCTGTCTTTTTAAAAAAAATAGAAATGCCGATTAAAGTAGCTAAATGCGCAAAAAGCAACAACGAAAACATTTTGTTTTATTTTATTACATTTTCCTACATTAACTGAAGGAAAATTTAAAAATTTTTGTTTTAAAA